AGTTAAATTAAATCAAAAAACTGAAATATATGATATGTGATAACACTATAATTATGAAAAGTTCCACTTGTTTCTGCAGTAATTGCAGGTTATTATTAATTCCATTTATTTTTAGAAAAAAAAAAAAACAATACCTCCTCAAATCTTTAAGTTATACACTATACTCTTAGTTATTTTTATTTCCATTTCTATTCAAATTCAGTTGGTAATAAATTTGAGTACMTACACAATTGTTATTAATGTTTTAATGTTTGTTTAATTTTTTTTTATTCTTTTCCAAGTCTATGCCTATATGGCACACTTATTATAACCGTCTGATACTATCTACCTAAGAAAAATGAATACCCCATAACTTAATAATTTATAATTGTATTAATGTATTTTTTTTCGTGTGGCACGAAAAATTAAATTTAAAAAAAATATGTATTGTTTCCATGTATTTCAATAAAATGTAGTATATGACTTACTCCTCGTTCCTTGTGTTCAAATCTCTTTATTTGCATGATCTTTTCTAGGGAAACGTGGTAATCAAATTTGTACTTTTCATCATATAACAAACTAAATACCGTACAAATCGACGACAATAAGTTTTTAGTCGCATTTGTAATAGCCACATCGAAATTTTGATCTTGAGATGAGTGAATTTCTATCGTTGCATTTTCGTCTTTTTCAACCAATTCATTTTCCTCTTCTAACAGTCCGTTTTCTTTGTTATCTGACTCTGCATCATCAGGTTTACTTTCTTCGGCCAAATCGGCCAAAACTGTTTCGCAATCTTTCTGAAAAAAAAATAAATGTTTTGAGGTTAAATCGATGAACACAATTTTAGATTTGGATTAGTACACACTTTGAACTTTTCGAAGGCTGTCAACCCGATACCGAAATCTTCAAAACTGGCTATGGTATATGTTCCGGTCCATGATATTACGCCTCGATTATAATCATCGAAAGATTTAATATCGTTAGACTTTTCATCGATCCACTTTGACATATCAGACAAATATCGAGCCTATAGCAATCGACAGAAATATTGAGCATTTTATTGTATTGGCAATAATCAAATGATTGAGTACACTGTACAGCATAACGAATTTACAAATTGTACCAATGATAATTAATAGTAAATAATAACATATTAATAAAATGTAATCTACGAAAAAAGTCGTACAGACATATAAACACTTACCAGCCTTGAGTATGACACTGAATTGCTACAAGACTTGTATACTTTTTCGCAGTCCGCTTTGGCCAAATTCATATTCGTCTGATCTAACTGCAGACTAGCGGCTTCACGGCATTGGTCCTCGATATTATGAGCTTCATCGACGATTATCACGTGGCCTTTTAGTTTCAAATTCATCTTGAAAAAAGTGTATTATTTAGAATGTAAAAATTATTTTATGCAAGCAAAATTTGTATATTTAATATTATAAGGAATACAAAATGRTGGTTTACGTCATAGAACACGAACGTTGAACACACTGAAATATAGTGATGTATAATGTATACTTACTGTACTTCTGATGACCGGATCGATGATATAATTGTAAGGACAAAAAACGATTTCGGCAGTTTTGAGCAACAAYCGTGTACCGTAGTATGGACAAGATTTTTTAGAAATGCCCAAACGCACTATGTCTTCGATGTCCCAAACAGATTCCACTCCAAACTTGGCTAATTGGCCATAAGTGCTTATTTTCACACCACCGTTATCGTAATAGCTACACCTATCAATTGTCCTTTTGAACTTTAACGAATTTCTCCGTCTCTGTAATCAAACAAATAAATTGAAACAATTTGTTCCATTATCGTTTTAAAATGTAGTTCTATAATATGTTAATCGAGAGTTACTATTGGCTACTTTAATCATATACCTTCCATATAATTATGTATTTATTTTATCAAATAAATTTATTTGTATAGATTTTTTAATTCAAATAAAAATAAAATATTATAATAATATAGAGACGATTCCAAAATATACTTCGTAATTATTGAAAATATAATRTAATATAACTTAATATAAGTAGTTAGTAGCAGGTTTTTATAGTATAACGTTACATCTTACGACCTACACCCATATTTTAAATTTTACAAGCGCGTATAACATAGTTTAGAATTATTTTCTTTAAACTAATAACATAAAACTACATAAATTGCTCAATATGATTTTGCTACAAAATAAAAATAAAATTATATTAACACAGTTAATCACTTTCATRCAGTTTTTAAGTTTCCTCTAACATTTGTCTTCAAGTAATTTTATAAATCAGCGTGTGATTGTCAAAATAAGGCAACTTAGTAAGTATCTATTCACCATTTATAATTATAATTGGATAATTTCTAAATTGTTTACATTTTTAGCTATTTTTTAACAATTTTAACAAGGTATAAATCACGGACTATGATTAATTAATTAATTAATCATAGTCCGTGGTATAAATCTTGTTAAAATTGTTAAAAAATTTTTTATTGCAATAAATTATTATTATTACTATTATTATTATATCAATAATTATTGATCAAAAATCAAAATAGAATAGAATAAAGTTTACTATAAAACTTTTAAACACAACAATTTATGAAAATACATGATTTAAAATTTAAAATGTAAATAAATGTTAAATATAAACGGACATTAAGCAATAAAGACTTTAAATATTTATGATAATAATATATTATATACTTTGTTCCTTTGTAGTATGTATGTATGTTGAAACAATTTAAGGTTATATTTTAAACAGATTATTATTTATAGTTAAGGCTGTAAATTAAATGCATAAAAAACCTAAAACGTATTTAAATCTCTAAAATGCAGTATGAAATCCACTGTAAGAATACATGATATTCATCATAATTTAAAAATTTAAAAAATTGTTCTGTAAAAATAATGAATCTTTCTATAAATTTACAGTATAATCAGTATATATATTATTAGTATGTATATGATGAATTATATATATATATAAGTAAAAATATCTCATAAAGTTTCCCCCATTAATAACTAACAAATTTCGTCAATAGTGATATGTACAGCATTTTGTGTACCTACTACTTATACCTACCGATGAAATGTGATACGGTACATTTCATTGCGCTTTCAATTGTCAATGCCCACCGGCATTTAATAACAATGGCCAATAAGGATTCAAAGTGTATAGGTAGGTACCCAAATGTTTTGCTAAACCAGCTACAATTATATTGGTTGGGGTCTCGTTTCGATGTTAAGAATAATGCATTTGTWTTGTATTTTACAATACACATGGAATCGTATATAATATAAACATTCAACGGGATATAATAAATTCCGATACATCTGAACCGTACACTTACCGCTTTTGGATCTAATAAATCCCTACATAGTTCAGTTTTTGATTTGTACGATATCTGGGGGTAGTATAAATTAGAATCTTGAATACATGTGTGTTCACGGCTCGCTAACACGCAACTCCTAAATGAAGAGTAGATAAATAAAAATGTTTTTTTTGTTTATCATATAATAATAAGACWCGTTTTTATCCCAGCTTACCTGGCGGTATTGAAACTAGTTCTTTGTAACTCTTTGATAACCTGTTCAATTTGTTTATGGGTTCTTGTACAGAAGTATATCACAGGGATGACTGGTCTAAATAAAATAAAAATGACTTAKACTAACAATCAAAATTAAAAATATACAGAATTAGAAYTGATTATATAATATGGTAATTAGTAATATTATTATTTTATAAGTAATTACTTTTATTCTTTTTACTTTTTATTGATTGGTATATTCAATTGATTTATTTAATTTGCAGATTAAACAATGTTTTTATAAGTTTATAATTTTATTGTTAATTTTGAAGAACAAAACATCACCGCAGTAAAATGACCGCAGTCAATATCTTATTATCACAAAGTTTACAAAAAAAAAAACATTTAGCTAGGTATAACTTGTAGATGATACTATATAGTATATATTGATTGACACTTAACAGTAAAAATGGATAAATATAAATTTAGCCTGAAAAAATGGCAAAATACGGTATACATTTGTGTATCGAATTTCGTTATRTGAAACAAAACAAAATCATATGTTACTACAAATATTCTACAACCAAAATTAAAAAATATTAAAATTCAACAATAGTTCCGTACCCTGCTAATTAGTAAATTAGTACTCATTACTTCTCTATAGAAATTAGACTATTACCTAAATTGATGTACCATACATGCTAGTTATATAGATTAATTTTGAAAGTTTCTGAYTATGGTTGTCTAGAAAAACTGAACGAGTAGTTCACTAACTTAAGTACTWTAAGTTTTATAAGCSAACTGCAGGGTATAGAGTGGCACAGCGGTATCACGCAAARCATATAGGTCCATTTTCACTCATCTATGCTTAATAGATTTTTTAATTTATTATAATAAATTATAAGAACATCCTCGTWAAAATAACTATAGGTGCATCACGATCTATGTCGAAATTGTTTTACACGACATTATAAAATATAATTAGGTACTTTATATTAAATCATAGTAATATCTAATTATATTAATATCTAATAAAACAATTAAGATAATTTAATACTAAAATAATAACATAATAACAAATATTTAAAATATAATTCATGAAAAATAAGTATTGCAATTTTTTAGAGGCTATTAGAAATTAGAAATTGGCTAAGTTTGAATAATGTGTAGAGGTTGGTGTTCTTTGCTTTTCATTGCTATTTCTAGATGAACTTTTTTCTCATATATACCATAATAAAGTAATTAAAGAATGTAATTATGTAAATAATTACTTACTTAACTGTTTTGTTTATTAATCATCTGCATTCTGCACTATTATTATTGTCTATATGTATAACCCACCTCAACTATTACTATTGTTGTCATTACTACTGTTATTATCATTGTTATTACTACTTACACTATTATCATGTTAAAATAGCTAAATATTAACAACACTAATTATCTATATATGTGGATAGCCTTATAGGCTAGGAATGTCTTATTGTACATAAATTTTTTTTTAAAAAAACTGTTTAATGAAAGTGAAGAAAAATATTGTAGAGTTAAATTATGTACCTACATTGAGAAAAAATATTTTTAATTTTATTCACAACAAAAACTAAACCATACATTATTTTTAAGTAATATACTGCTATAGCAAGGAATCGCAAAATAACAATATTGCTTAAATTGTCTTACTTAGATTTTTTTGGAATATTAGTTCCTGTTTGTGGTTCAATTTTTTCGTCTTCGTCTTCTGTCATCAAACTATTGTTAGGGCTGGAGTCATTGGTCATTATTGAATCGTCGTTTGACATGTTTTTACCGTCGGACAAGTCCTGTAAACAAAACAAAAATAATAAATGAAATATTCTCTCAGTTCATTATTACGAGTATATCTGGTCACTAAAATAAGCTTACAAGATCTTTACTGTTATTTATTTTTCTTTTTTTACCAGGCTGTTTAAATACAGCCATTTCCTCTTCCGAATCATCGCTGTTAGTGACGGCCGWTGACAAACATAATCCTTTATTTTTAGCGGGTAAAATATTCGTTTCTGTAAAAAAAAAATATGTATAAATTATTCGCAAGGCGAAGACGTCCGGTATTATAATTGAATGCGGTGCGGCATTAGTTGTGGGTGAGGGCGAAGAGGGACGAAAATTCATCCGACGATAGCCAACTTTTYGTTTGTATGTAAACGGATTCAAGCTTATCCGGAACGGATATTATACACCATATACTACTTGCGCCCTGTGGGGATATTATTAATCGCGTTTTCCTTCCCCATTTATTTTTAATAATGACAAAACGGAGGGTTTCGCAAAAATCCTTTTGTGAAAAGCCCCCCAGGGAGGATATTTGCTTGATATAGGAGTTATTATAAGAATTTTCTCTCAGTTTATTTTTATTTTTTTATTCGCCTCGGTTAAAGTATAGAAGAACAAAGAGAGATGATGTCGAGTAACAAGCGAAAACAGACAACAGTGCACTGTATTCTTCCTCCGTTACAGCGACAGAGCCAATAAATATACGTTCATGCATATATATATTTTAATTAAGTTAAAACTGACTTAATATAGGTATAGATTCGCTTTTGAAAATATAAAATACAAGCTACATAATAATTAGTATATAGGGTGCGACGCGTTTCTGCTTGCATTATATTGTATAATGAAGTTAAATCAGTAGTCACGTGTCGGATCAACATCGACCGTTTATATAGAGTTGAAGCTTTCAAAGATAATACAATATGATAACATGTGTTTATATATATTTCTACTTACAGTACTTATATTAAATTATGTCGATATAATACATATTAAATAGTATGATAAATATGTGTATCTATGGTACGCCAAAAGGTATCTGGTCAGTTCCCCGTCTATTATTTAGTAAAAATAATAAAATTAATTTAAAAAACAGAAAACAAGCATTTTATTGTTCTGTTTTTTTAGTTTTAAAATATTCATCTTTACCTAGATCGTGTAAATATAAATATATGTGTAATATGATTAATTAAAAAAATACAAAAAATTACAATAAAATATTTTCATGTTGTACTTCTAAATTAAGAGCGATTCCATAATTAAGTACTCATCTAGATCACGTTCATCATATTATGCAGACACAATATTATCTATACGCCTAGAAACATCTCGATATTTTATCTTTTTTGCTGAAAGATCCTGTCCAGCAATAAATGATTAATTTTAATTTCAGTTAAATGTTGTTCTTTTGTAAGAACTTCAATAAATCTCTATATAGTAGGATGAGACGCAGCTAACAAATACGAGAATGCTCTATGCCAACCTTCAATATTATTGATTGTTTTTGGCAAACCTAAGCATCGTATTGGCTCCACAATTTCAAATCAAATATTGGTTAACTGTTAATAACGTAATAACTGTTGAGACATTAATTTATCAAATTTATCCACTACATATGAGTTCCACTGGAGCAAAAGCTAAAACCATTAGCTGTTTTATTTTCAAGCCAAAGTCGCATCATTCATATATTTTTGACGTTTTTCTGGAAGGTGTCGTATTTTTTGTTATAAACACTAACCAAAATGAAAAAAAACAGCCTCTCATTTATGTACCAGGAAAAACATAAGTAATAAATGCATCAATTAGACCTTGTACAAAATCAGTCATTATACTAATCGGGCTTAAATTTTTTTCTTTGATTAATTTAATTTGAAATTTCTTTTATTGTGAAATACATTTTTTAACACCAATTTCTTCATTATTCGGTGTATCATTATGATCGTCTTTATGAAAAGAAACCTTATCATTTTTTTGTATGTGCCCTCTTTCACGGTATTTATTAGTATTGTTCTGATGCATTTAAAATAAGTTTTTTTTTCATGTAATCTTTTTCAAAAATATATCCTGAGTACACTAGTAAGTCTTTTCCTTTTGAACTTTTAACGTAATTTATAGACATTGTAAACCGCGTTATAACAATTAAAAAATAGATGAAAGTGAAAAAGCGGACTGACGCACTGACGGTTGCTCACCCGTCATCAGATTATTATCTCCGTCGCCGTCTAAATAGTACCTAGATAATATATTATTATATAGATATACTCATAATGTGTGTTGACTATTAGTTTATCAACGAATTATTTGGGTTTTACACCGATAACGAAAAATATTAGTCGAAACATATAACAATAAAATATCGAGATATAGACGTATAGAAAATATTGTATATCAGATGACAAACGTGATCTTTAATGAATATAATTAGACCTATAGTTAATTTTTTTTGAGTTTTTTAAAATTAATTTCATTATTCTTACTAAATATTATAAATACAATATGGACRGGGAAATGTTGCATGGGGAATCGTATTGGACGGGAAAATATCAAACGGGGAAACATGTGACGAAAAAGTGTCCATGAATCCATCAAAATAGCATATTTTCATAATCATAGTTTAGAACAGTAAGTGCATCAAAAAATGTTTACTTCTTATGGCCTCTAGGTATACGTACTATACCAAGAAACACATATACCACATATATTTACTGTTACAATTGTATCGGTCTGTTATAATTAATTTATAGGTAGGTACAATATAGCCAATAAATTCATAAAATATATTCTATTAGCATATAAATTATTACGAAAGTATAATGTGTATAATATGCGTTAGATTAGATATACCTACGCATCCTGCATTCGCATGCATATTAAGTATCTATATACAATGTTTAACAGAATGACCTGACAAATTAAATAACTTTTGATCAAATCACTATTATATATATATATA